AYATTTTGATAGTTCATGTTTTGTAATAATACTATTTTAGTATTATGAGAATGATGATGTGAATTATATGTATTTGAGATGTGAGGGTTGTTACATTAAATATAGCGTATCATCAATAAACTGGTGGGCTCCAGTATTCAGACGACACATTTCGAGGTCTTGTACGACAGAGACTGTCGGACACCATTATATTGCAATGAAGTGGGAAAGAAACAGTTAGACGAGCTAGAAATTGTTCAGTTAACAGTAGATAGGATCAATCATATTCATGAATGCTTAAAGATAGCTCAAGACTATTAGAAAAGCTACACTGACATATGTCGTAAACCGATAGATATTCAGGTAGGGTACAATGTGTTATCGAAAGTATCTCCATGGAAATGGATCATTCACTTTTGGAAAAAGAGGAAAAATATGAGTTTGAGGTACATCGTTTCTTTTGTAATCAATGATCGGGTTGGTGACGTAGCATACAAGTTAGAACTTCCAGCAGTGCTCAATGGGATTCACAACACCTTCTACGTGTTTAATCTGGGAAAGTGTTTTAGTTGATTCTGATCAGGAAATATTGTTACCAGAAATTCAGGTGGATGAGAAACTACAATATATCAAAGAGCTAGAAGCAGTTATTGATTACAGAGTTCACAGGTTGAGAAGTAAAGAGATTAGTTTAGTGAAGGTACAATGGCATTATCATAAAAGTCAATAGGCTATTTGGAAATCAGAATCTGAAATTAGATCTAAATATCTTGTTTGTTTGAATGAATGAATTCTGGGACAGAATTCCTTTAAGGGGTAGATGTTGTAATACCTTGGTGTATTAAATTATTGGGTTTAATTCAAAAGTCCAAGGGTGGAGTGTGTCACTTTCTAGTTTTAGATGGTTCTTTATGGAAAGTTAGAAGACTCATGTAAGTGGGTTACTTCCTCATCATTTCTTCCATATGAACCTTGAGTAGGTGGGTGGGTGTGTGTGTGTGTTTGAGGTTCCAGGAGCTATCTCTTTAGAGGAATTGATGAATAAGGATGTGGAATTTTATATTTGGATTTTATCTTGAGAAGGTATTTTCTTACTCACCTTTCATTTTAAACCCTAAGATAACCATCCCTTTATTTTTCTTTTTAGTTAATTTTAGTCTAGTTTTAGATTATTAGGGTTGGGTTTCTCTTTGTTAAATCTTTAGAAGTAATTGATCTTAAAATATTGATTTCCTCTTTTTGGCAAGTTAGTTTATAATTATTTCAAGTTTGAAAGCATTTGAGTAAACGTGGGTTTGTGCAGTTGGGTTCTTAAGGTTTGTTGGACAAAGTTGGATTAAACCCATTTACTTTGATTATTCAAATGAATTTGAGTGATGAGAATTTGTTTTAGTAACTTTGTTGGTTAATCCTATGGTCTAAACTTATGATTTGTTAGTTTAAAAAGCACGAGTTTGATTTTGTTTGGCTATGGCAAAAATCTGGAAGTGTAGGTTCGAAAACAGAGAAAGAAGAAGGAAACAGTGAACGGCGTGACTAGGTCGTGTGGCAGGTCGCAGGATTAACTATTTTGATTGGTCAAGCTAGTTTGGAATTCCCGAGCTAGTTTGTTCGCTAGTTTAAACTAGTGAACACCTCTGAGTCGTTTTAAATCATTATCACTGCTAGGTTGGGGGAGTTAGCAATCTATCTAAAAGAGGGGTGACAAGAGGCGATTTTGGGGAGACTCCTTCATCAAGATTACAACGGATTGAAGCACCGAGACCATTACGATGCAATTTATTAACGAAGATCAATCTATTGATCATGGGTATTGCAATTCAAAGGGAGTTCTTACATATTTTAGATTTTTGTTTGAGAGACCATTGTTTAGATTCATAAATTCTTCTATTATTTTGCGTTACAATACCCCCCCCCCCCAACATGAACTAATCTTTAGAGGTTGGGGGTTGGGTTACTTTTGGATTACAAACATATGAACATATAAAGTTGTGATTTTTTCTAGACTTCTCTATTTAATGAAGCATATGATTTAAAGGTTAATGCTTTTGTGAGTCTGATCAACTTTCAATTGATTTGTTTGTTATAAGTTAAATTTGAGAGAATTAAATTGTAACTCGAATTGGGATTATATGCCTAAGGTGAGAACTTGGATAGAGATATACCAATTAAGTCTTAGTACGATTCACAATCTTGTTTCTAAGGAATTTCTGGTTACAGGTGTTGAGATTGAGAGATAAAACAACTGTTTTCCGAAAATATTCCTGTTATTATTCGAGAGAGGATAATAGGAGTTCGAGTGATTGTGTATTCATTAGTTGAATTGTCTAGCAATGATCCAATTGAAGTGTTTTGTGTGAAATCCTTTAAAATCCAACTCCTAACTGATTTTCTCCCTATAACGTTTCCAAGCTTCACTCTTGCAGTTCTTTAAGATCTCCCTTTGTCTAATTAATCCAGTCATCCAATTCAGATTGTCCAATTAATAGTAGTTATAGTCATTGTGTTACTTAGTACCTAGTTCCTCTTTTGTTCGATACTCGTACTTATTGTACATATTACTTGATTCAATCCACCCACTTGCGGTTAGATTAAGGGGGTTGTAAACCTGCCTATCAAGTTTTTGGTGCCGCTATTGGAGAACTAGTTTTGCTCTAATAACACTACTAACTATGATTATTATTACATTGGATACTTTATTTTATTTTACTTGCTTTTCAATTATTCATTATTTCTCGGGTTCATAGATTTTCTCTTTCTGAATTACAGGATTTAGGGTTTATGCTAAGAAGTTCTAGAGATAAAAATCTAGAACCATTCGATCTAGATATTGAAAGGACCGCGCGTAAAAATTGAGGAAAGAATCAAAAGCTAGAAAGTTAAGGCAAATGGGAGAAGAACGACCTGAAGACGAGGTTCACCCACTTCTACCACCTCCACCCCGTATTCCCATGAGGGCTTATGCCAATCGAACCTATGCAAACATAAATATTGGCATACAAGCACCCCACATTTGAGATAAAATGTGGCACATTTAACCTAGTTTAAGAAAACCAATTTGGAGGGGCACGGACTGGAAGGCCCTCATGGACATATTCGCTCATTTGAGAAAGTATGCAACACTTTCAAGACGAATGGAGTGCTGCAAGATGCTATCAAACTTCAGTTACTTCCCATTCTCTCTAAGAGGCAAAACAACTACTTGGGAAGAGAATCTTCCAAATGGTCAGATAAACATTTAGACTGGGATGGTGATTGCCTTCCTTTTAGAAATTATTCCATCGGACCGAACTGCCCAATTGATGGCCGAGATTACACATTTCGTTTAGTGGGATCAAGAATCCTTATATGAGGCTTGGGAAAGATACAAAGACATGTTGAATAGGTGTCGTCATCATGGTCTCCATGGATGGGTCATTATTCAAACTTTCTTCAGCGGCTTACATCCTCAGTATAAGAATGACATCACTTTAGTTGCTGAAGGTGCCTTAATGAACAAAACGTATGACGAAGCGATCAAGCTAATTGAAAACCTATCTGAGCACAGTTGTGCCACACCAAGGTCGCCAGTCAGAAGGGTGGCTTGTATTCAAAAGTCTGAAGAGTTAAAGGAAATAAAAGCCAAATAACAACTATTACCATCCAACTGAAGGGAGCCGCTATACAATCATCATCTCAGTTTGATGTACGAATTCCATAATACTATCCACCATTTTGTGATTCGCAACAACCAGAGTAGGTTCAGTTTATGTATAAATAGGAATAACCATCCTCGGAATGATCCATTCTCCAACACTTACAACGAGGGATGGAAAAAAACATCCCAATTTTGCATGGAATCTATGGAACAACAACAACAATATCTTGGTAAAAAATTCTAACTTTTCGTCTTCTTCTCAGTCTAATAATATTTATCATCCTCCAAGTTATCATCAAAGAAAGATGAAGGGCATACTTCAGAAAAAAGTCAAGACTTAAGATGATGATGAAGCTTGTGTCCAAGATGGATACTGTTGTTGAAGGGTTGACATCATCAATAGGCACGCTGGCATCCACTATTAATATAGTGAAATCTGCAACTGATCAGAACACAACCTCAATTCAGATCTTGGAAAGCCAAGTGGGACAAGTAGCAGACGCCCTTCAAACTCGGATCCAAGGCCAATTCCCTAGTCATCCAATTCACACTCTGGAGGTCCCAAGTTCAAATCCAAGGAGGAATAAAAATTTCCTTGTGGCTACGGAGGTTCAAATTCGGTGACTCCGAGCTATCTGCAAAAGTAGGTGGTCGCTCTAGGATTAGTCGGCTCACATAGCGGGTTGGATATCCAGGTTAATAAAAAAACATGGGAAGACTGCAAGGCCATTCATTTAAGGAATGGTAAGGAGCTCATTAAGGTCCCTATGAGAGAACCTGTGGTTAAGGACACTACAAGGAAAGCTACTAAAGATGAAGCCATAGAGGTAGAGGAAGTAGAAGAAGATGAGTAAATTGAAATGGAGAATCCTGAGAATAAGAAAAAAGAAGAAGAGAGCATTCCACCAAAGCAGACAGTTAAACCGAGGATACCGTATCCTAACCATTTGAAAGCTCACAAGGATGATGTTCAATTTTCTAAATTTCTTGAAGTTTTTAAGAAATTGCATATTATTATCCCTTTTGAAGATGCCTTGGCACAAAATCCCTCATATGTGAAATTTCTAAAAGACATCCTCTCTAACAAGAGGAAGATTGAGGAGCATGCAGCAGTTGCATTCACTGAAAAGTGTAGCGTAATTATCCAACAAAAGCTTCCCTCGAAGCTTAAAGATCCAGGGAGTTTCACTATCCCTATTTATATATGGAATTTTGAGTTTATCAAAGCCTTATGTGATTTGGGGGCAAATAAATAATATATTATCATTGTCTATTTTTAGGAAACGGGGATTGGGAGAAGTGCAACCAACGAGTGTGACCCTTCAGCTAGCTGACAGATCCATAAAATACGCATATGGGATTGTTGAAGATGTGTTGATCAAAGTAAACAAATTCTACTTCCCAGTTGATTTTGTGGTTTTGGACATGGATGAAGACAAAGAGATACCCATGATCCTTGGCCGACCGTTCCTAGCTACTGGGGGAGTATTGATTGATATGTAAAGAGGTAATCTGAAACTCAGGGTAGGAAATGAACAAGTTGTTTTCTATGTGTTTCAGGCAGCAAAACATATATTAGAGTCAGATGAATGCTACCGATTGGATGTTACTGACCAAATAATTAGAGAAGTTTACGAGCAACAAGAATCTGGTGACTAATGGGATGATGTGTTGATCGGCATCAAAACTGATCCAGAGTGTGAATGTGTAATGAAACACAATGCATTACCAACATTCAAATGACCTCGAAGACCGGTAATTGAATATCTGGGAGCACCTATTCCTAAATTCCAATCATCATCCAAGACACCACTAGCTTGAGCTTAAACCATTACTAGCACATCTAAAGTATGCTTATTTGGGGGACAAAGAAACACTTCCCGCTATCATATCTTCTCATATGAGTTCTGAAAAGAAAAAGAAACTTTTGAGAGTCCTCTAGACCATCAAACTGCCATTGGATGGACAACAACTGATCTTAAAGGCCTAAGTCCCGCCTTTTGCACACATAAAATTAATCTGGAAGAAGGGCACCGACCAACAGTTCAACATCATCGTTGGCTTAACCCTAACTTGAAGAAAGTGGGTTCGGAAGGAAATTCTAAAACTTCTTGATGTTGGGATCATATATCCTACAACCCTTGGGTGAACTCAGTCCAGGTAGTACCAAAGAAGGGGGCATCATAGTCGTCCGAAATAACAATAATGAACTTATTCTATGTCGGACAGTAACGGGCTAGAGAATGTGTATTGACTATAGGAAGCTGAATGATGCAACTTGGAAAACCCACTTCCCACTTCCCTTCATTGACTAGATGTTGGAGCAATTAGAAGGTTTGAATACTACTATTTCTTGGATGGATATTCAAGGTATAACCAAATACCAATCACCCCGGAAGATCAAGAGAAGACAACCTTCACCTGCCCTTATGTTAGGTTTGCTTATTGGAGGATGCCATTTGGATTGTGTATGCTCCAATAACATTTTAGAGGTGCGTGATTGCAATCTTCTCAGATATGGTGGAACTAACTATAGAATTCTTCATAGATGACTTCTCAATATTTGGACCTTCATTTGACACATGCTTAGAACATATGGAAGTCGTCCTATAAAGATATTAAGAAATAAGCTTGGTCTTAAACTGGGAGAAGTGTCACTTCATGGTGACAGAAGGAATAGTGCTTGGCCACAAGGTCTCAAAGGAAGGGATAGAGGTAGAAAAGCGAAGGTCGCATTGATTGAGAATCTACCATATCTTCTGGGACATGCTGGTATTTTCGTTGATTCATCAAGGATTTCTTTCAAAATTACTAAACCCTTGTGTGCTTTATTAATTAAAGATGCCAAATTTGATTTTGCTTATGATTGTATCTTTGCCTTTGAGAGGTTGAAGAAGGAATTAATTTAAGCACTGATCCTTATGGCACCTGATTATAATGTGTCATTCATACTTATGTGTGATGCAAGTGATATTGCAGTAGGTGTTGTGTTGAGGCAAAGGAAAGAGAAAGGCTATATGTTATTTACTACGCTAGCAAGACATTAGACTAGGCTCAAGTCAACTATGTAACCACTGAGAAGGAGCTACTCATAGTAGTCTACGTCTACGAAAAGTTCCAATCATTTCTAGTTGGTGCCAAGGAAATTGTCTACATATACATCACTCAGCCTTAAAGTACTTAATGACCAAGAAGAATGCGAAACCGAGGCTCATCCGGTGGGTATTACTGCTTCAAGAGTTTGATCCAGAAACATTGGATAGAAAAGGCTCCGAGAATACAGTGGCATACCACCTTTCACGTCTGGAAGGGAATAAAGAGCATTCTACTGATGAATCAGTCATCAATGATGCATTTTCGGATGAACAATTACTTAAGATCAGTCATTCAGAGCCATAGTATGTTGATATAGTGAACTTCCTATTGGGGGCAGTGATACCATATGGTATGAATTCTCATCAGAAAATGAAGTTCCTTTCAGATGAAAAAGTACTTTTGGGATGAGCCATACCTGTCATACTCTAGAGATAAAACAACTATTTTTTTGGGAATAACTCTTTATCATTCGAGAAAGGGTGACAGGAGTTCGAATGATTGTGTATTCATTAATTGAATTGTCTAGAAATGATCCAACTGAAGTGTTTTGTGTGAAACCCTTTGAAGCCCAACTCCTAACTACTTTTCCCCCTATAACGTTTCCAAGCTTCGCTCTTGCAGTTCTTTAAGATTTCCCTTCGTTTAATCAATCAGTTAATTAATTAATCTAATCATCCAATTCATATCGTCCAATTAATTGTATTTATAGTCATTGTGTTACTTAATACCTAGCTCCTCTGGTTCAATACTCGTACTTACTATACATATTACTTGATTCAACATGTACACTTGCAGTTAGATTTAGGGGGGTGTAAACCCGCCTATCAGCAAGTATGGTGGCGACTAGGCGAGGAGAGAGGTCATTAAAGCCAGTGACGGTAAAGAGTGGTCGTCGAGATCTGGGATGTAGTGCATCATCAAGATTTGGGTCATGTTGTAGTACAGTAGCGAGATCTGTGTTATATCTCCGACGTTCTTGGAATGGGAAGAGTAAGATGACTTGAAACTCTGGCATCAAACTCATCTACATGATACGTTGGACTTTCACTACACTCTCTCCAAATGGAAGTTCCTCCGTTTTGATACATTGTTTTTGTTTGCCTTTCTTTCTCTGTTGTCTTTTGCATTGCTTTATAATCGTCCACTCAACCCTAAAGGAGAAACATATCTGAAAACACAACCATCTGAGTAACTTTTTGATATTGGATTGCTTTCTGAATTGGGATTGATTTTTTAGGCTAATTTTATTTATATTAAAATGTATATACAATTAATTAAGGCAATGACATTTATATTTATAGATTTGGTTAGTTGCTATCTAATTTAGAAAATTACTAATATACCCATTTAATTAATTAAGGCAATAGCATTTATTATATAAAGTTGTTGGTTGATATTGAATCTTACAGTTATTATAAACTAGTGAGTTATCAGGCTCATATCTATACTTATAATAAATAACTTGGATGACACGTGTCATCTTTTGGTGAGGCGGATTTCTTGTTTTCCTGCCTAAACACGTATCTAGACACAATTTACATTAGTGGTTCAATTAGACTCATTTGAACGTATCTAGACACAATTTACATTAACAGTTCAATTATACCAATTTGATTGATCACTACTAAAAAATGTGGTTTTTTCAACGGCAAAATCCGTAGGAAAAACAACTATCTGACGGATATTGTCATCGGAAAAACCCACGCCGTTAAATGCAAATTCCGTTTGAAATCTGTCGATAATGTTCAAAAAAGTTTTATTTATATTTTTTCCTTCCAAAAATATATATGTAGAAGAAGTTCAATATTTTCGATGAATAATAATTTTTATAATAAAAAAATATATTCCATTGGAATTTATTAAAAAAAGTTTTTTTTTCTTATAAAACATATATTTTTTTTAAATAAATTCCGACGGAATATAACTTTTTATTAGAAAATTACAATTCGTTGGATTTTTTTTAAACATATTTTTTTGGAAGAGAAAAGAATAAAAAAAAAGTTTTCTTAAACATTTCCGATGGAGTATAATTAAATATAAAAATCAATTCAAATACATCCTAAATTTTAATTAATTAACGCTAATTAATTTATTTAAATAAATTAGACCAATTTTCTGACGGATTTCCGACGGATTTATGATAGTATTAAATAAGTATTAATTACAATTTTTTTTATAAATTCAGTGACGGATTTGTGGGGATTTGTGGCGGACATCAACAAAAGTTGACTTTTCTTGATTATACAGAGCTTTGAAATATAAAGAGTTTTACTTTAGAGTTATTTCAAGAGTACAAGTCTAAGTCTGAAGTCATTATTCAGAGTTATACTTAATAGTTATTTCAAGAGTACAAGTCTGAAAAGTTGTTCTAAATTTACCGCTAAATTTAAATTCAATTTACTGATATAGTTTCATTTCTAAATTTAATTTTATTATAGGGTTAACTTCATTTTAACTAATTATTTATATAGTTTTGTAACACCACATACCACACATTGCATGTAACATATACTTCATACGGAAGAAATACATGTTTATATACCACTTAGGTCCTATAGTACAAGAATCTACCAGTATAACATGGCTCAAAAATTCAAAATACATTTCTTGTACTAATTATCGTTCATCAGACAATACTATACATCATAAACAATTCTTCATGTAGATAAGCATTTAGGAAAATATCATATTTTCCCCTTCCCCTTACCGTCCGTACCTCCTGCAATACATAGTTAAAATCACAAAACGAGGGTTAGACCGAAAGGTCTAGTGAGTTACCGTATTTAAGTTATTGCAGGATGATAATCACCAAAACTTTTTAAATAAAACAACTTTTCACATATATAATCAATATTATGAACAAATGAGGGCATATTACTAGTTTCTTCCCATTTTCAAGCCAAGCATTCAGCTATTCAAATAACATACCTTTGAACCAAACAGGTTTCATATAATGCCACTTTTTAAACCTTTTCTATCAAACAAGGTTTTTTTAAAGTTTCAGGCCAAACCTGTTATTTTCTCCTCAATAACATCCAGACTACAATTTTCAATAAGAACATTGATCCTAAATCTTTAAATCACAAAGAAATAAAGATTCTAAACCACGGTAATCTTAAGGGATATAATAGAAAGAGTTATATCATTCAACACACATACAAATGCGACCTTTATATCAAATGTACACTCTCCTTGATATGCCACCCTTATCCCATGGTACACCTCTCCTTGATATGTCACCCTTATCCCATGGTACACCTCTCCTTGATATGCCACCCTTATCCCATGGTACACCTCTCCTTGATATGCCATCCTTATTTTCTCTTCAAAACATTCTACAAAAACAATTCCAAATAGACCGCAGTCAATGGAATTATTATCAATCCAAAATCATTTACATCAAATTTTCTATTTTATGATAAAATAACAATTTTTATCAATCAAGCACAAGGCATAGTACAAATCCGGTCAACATGGCTTGACCGGACTTCATCTCCGGTCAAATCTTGGCCGGTTTACCATATCCGGACAACACATCGCTCAAGGCTTGTCCGATTTAACAC